GATAGACAGAGATAGATAGATAGATAGATAGATAGATAGATAGATTTACCACATTTACCACACAAACTATAATAACTGAGACAACCAAAAAAAGTCAAAGATCAGTCACGCTGTCCTTTGGGGAAAAATTAAGTACACTGAAACTATAGGAGGAAACTATCAGATTATATAATGTATTTAGTAAATCAAAACGATATTTACACTTTTAAAGGTTGGGGTCGGTAAGATTTTAAAAAATGTTTTTGAAAGAAGTCTCTTAATGCTTATAATGACTGAATTTTTGGATTAAAAATACAGTAAAAACAGCACTATTGTGAAATATGATTACAGTTTAAAAGAACTGCTTTCTATTTCAATATATTTTAAAATGTAATTTATTCCTGAGATGCAAAGCTGCATTTTCAGCATAATTACTCCAGTCTTCAGTGTCACATGATCCTTCAGAAATCATTCTGATAGATTTGCTGCTTATTATCGTATGCTTCTTATTGCTATCAATGTTTTGTGTGTGTGTGTGTTTGTGTGTGTGAACCTTGACTCAATTCTTAAGGATTATTTGATGAATAGAAAGTTCAAAAGAACAGCATTTATTTGAAATATAAATCTTTTGTAACAATATAAATTTCTTTAGTCTCAATTTTGATCAATTTAATGTATCCTTGCTGACTAAAAGTATTAAATTCTTAAAAAAAAACATCTTACTGACCTCAAAACTTTTGAACAGTGTTGTATTTGCCACAAAGCCAATGAGAATTTCAATTAGGTAACAGCATTTCAACTAAATAGTAAATAATATATAAATAACACATTTGTTTTATAAATACTAATAAATAGTAATAATGTAGCATTTTGTCATGCTGATCTGCTGCTTGTTAAAAAAATCTACTAATCTACTTTGAAAAATATTGCAGAAACTTTGTAAAAAAGTATATTTATTCATATGTGTTTTTGCTTGTGTGAATATCTGTGTCTGGTCATTTGTTTTATGTGCATATTTTTGTCCTGTAGGGAAGCTGTTTGTTCGACACAACAGTCGGCAGCTGAGCAGGGTTTACCCATCAGGCCAGAGGTTACAGTCCTCCAACTACGACCCCCAGGACATGTGGAACGGAGGCTGCCAGATGGGTGAGCGACTGAACTCTCTGACATTCCTGCATGTCTGCAAGTACAGCAGCCAAAGCTTGAACGCTTCATCCTCTCTGTTCTCCAGTGGCTCTGAACTTCCAGACCCCAGGAGAGCAGATGGACCTGAACCAGGGCCGCTTTCTGCCCAACGGCCGCTGCGGATATGTGCTCAACCCTGACTTCCTGTGTCACCCGAAGTCCAATTTTGACCCTGAGAACACAGGTGGAGGACCAGGACATATACCCACACAGCTTACCATACGGGTTAGTAGCAGCTCCTCTTCTCTTTTAGCTCGTCATGAATGGTCTGACAGGAAATATTGCTCAGGATCCCATGTGCTCTGTAAATATTGTGATAAATCTCTTTTACTGTACTTGTGGGCTGTTTTGTTTCTCCCGCAGGTGATCTCGGCCCAGCAACTTCCTAAAATAAACACAGACAATCTCAACTCCATTGTGGACCCACAGGTCTGGGTGGAGATCCATGGAGTTTCCATCGATAAGGCTCGTGCTAAAACCCAGCGCATTGACAACAATGGTGAGACCACTGAGATATTCAGTTATCCATAGTTATTGTATGATCCGTATATATGTTGTATGATCGTTTAATCAAAGGGGTCCTATTACGCTCTTTTACGAAGTCTTGATTTTGTTTTGGGGGTGTACTAGATAGTGATAACACTCATTGCCTTCTCTAGTGCAGCTCAACCAGGTCTCGTCCCATTCGTCCATATTTGTGATATCACAAATACCGGAAAATATGCGTTGTAGTCCAAACAAGCCGTTCGTTGTAGTTTTTAAAAAGTGATTTCTGTTAAATAAAATATCTCCTTTTGAAGTGGACTTTGAGCTTTGTAACTTTGCAGATCTTTTTTATGCTCAAACAGCAACAGTACAGACTAACTAAAGTTGAAAAAATGAAAAAGCATAATAGGACCCCTTTAATCAATATCAATCCATTAGAATTGTGTGTGTGTGATAGAAACATTAGTGATGTTTTAATGGTTGGCATATTGATTACAGTGTTTCATTTGTTTTTATTTTGTTGTTTTGAGCATTTATTTTGTGTGTGATAAACATATTCTAGCAGTAAAACGATAGGTGTTCCTGTCAGGATTGAATATTGAGTATATGTGTGTGTGATTCTGTGTGTGTGTGTGTTTGTCTCCCCCTGCAGGTTTCAACCCTCGTTGGGACTGTACTGTGAGCTTTCAGCTGCAGGTGCCTGAACTGGCCTTGGTGCGTTTTATGGTGGAAGATCACGACTACAAATCCAAAAATGATTTCATTGGCCAGTTCACCCTCCCTTTCACCAGCCTTCGAACAGGTGTGTGTGTGTTCAGATCACACAGTATGATGTTTTTATAAAACATATACTATATTAAACATGATTTGTGGTGGAAGTACTGTATGAATTTTAAATTTTGTTAAAAAGTTTGGGGTCAGTACGATTTTTATGTAAAGAAATGAATACTTTTTGATCGATTTGATGCATCCTTGTTGAATAGATCAGTGACAGTGAATACATTTATAATGTTAAAAAGATTGCTATTTCAAATAAATGCTGCTCTTTCTATTCATTAAATAATCATTAAAATTGTATCACAGTTTTTTCAGCATTTATAATAGTAAGAAATGTTTCTTGAGCCGCATATCAGAATTTCTGAAGGATCATGTGACACTGAAGACTGGAGTAATGATGTTGAACATTCAGATTCACAGGAATACATCACATTTTAAAATATATTAGAGCAGAAAACAATTATTTTAAATTGTTACATTATTTCACAATATCACCGTTCCTAGGATGCCTCGGGGGTGAGTAAAACACAGCCTAATTTTCATTTTTGGGTGAACTAACCCTTTAAATGCAGCCTTGATAAGCATAAGAGACTTCTTTCAAAAACAAACAAAAAAAAAACTTACCAACCCCAAACTTTTCAATGGTAGTGTAAATAATATAAATTAATGTTTTTAAATAAACTATTATATATAAAGTGCTTGAACACCATGCTTGAGAAATGTGCTGTAACAGAATTATCTATAAAAGACATAATGAAGAGTCTCACAAACCTTTGCCTTCAAAACAGCTCCAGTAGTTTTTGGAATGTTGTTATACAAGTACCCTGTGTACAAGAATTGTGTGCAGTGGGATTTTGCTCCATTCTGAAGAAAAATAGTTTCCAGTTCACTGATAGATCAATGAGATGGAAATCTGCTTCTCAGTCCGCAGCTTAGAGCAAGTAATGGTTAAAAAAGGCCTAGATCTGAAGTTCAAGAAGGACACGAATCACTAGATTTTTCACATAGATTTATTCCTGTGTTTGTGTTGTCCTCCAGGTTATCGTCATGTTCACCTGCTAAAAGTTGACGGCTCTAGTCTTTCTCCTGCCACCCTCTTCATCCATGTCAAGGTGGTACGGCGAGGAGTTCCTATTAAAACCGTCTCTGAGCGCATAGGCAAGGCCTGAGGCTTCTGTCGTGATTCCTGGAAATGTTTATTTCTGGAAGTACCTTACTGAAGGAGAAGCCCCTGAGCCGGGCTCTCGAGGTGCTGGGACTCTTCAGAATGAGACCACATGAAAAAGCATGTGACATTGGACTTACAAGCACCACAATCTGCAGAAAGTCAGTGTAGACGTGTGATTCAAAGTGCATTTTGCTTTTTTATTGTTCATTTGTGGTGTTGTCTGCACAGCAGAACGTCTAACCGTGTCATAGAAGTGTTATAGTGGAAGCTAAATATGCTATGAAGTCAGTATTGTTTGAAGTTACAAGTCAGTGTTGTTTATAGAGTCTGTTTCCACTGAGACCGATTTCTATTGAGTCAAGGTGCAAAAAGTGTAAAAAAAACATTTTGAAAGAATATTGGAAGCATAGCAAGTATATGGATGGTTTATAAAGAGTAATTTTTATGCAACACCAACTGCGATTCAGCAGTATATTAGTAATAAGAAATCAGTAATTATCAGTAATTAAGTAATCAGAGTAGTAAGATACTTATGGAAAATAATAATAATATATATGAATACAATTAATGTCATAAAAATAAGAAATAAGAAATGTTTTTAAACAGCTACCACTAATGATGAAATCTATGTTTAACCATGTTTGGGACAGATTTTATCATTAAAGCTAAAAGCAAGCACTGAAAATGTTCAGTGTTGTAGGATGTTCAAATTTGGTCAAATTACACAACTTCACCAGTGCTGCTTTAATGAAGACGCAGGCAACAATAGCACTTGTTGCTAGATACTCCGTTTCATATCCAAGTTTGTTAAAGGGGTCCTATCATGCTTTTTCACTTTTTCAACTTTAGTTAGTCTGTAATGTTGCTGTTTGAGCATAAAAAAGATCTGCGAAGTTACAAAGCTCAAAGTCCACTTCAAAAGGAGATATTTTATTTAACAGAAATCACTTTTCAAAAACTACAACGAACGGCTTGGTTGGACTACAACGCATATTTTCCGGGATTTGTGATATCACAAATATGGACGAATGGGACGAGACCTGGTTGAGCTGCACTAGAGAAGGCAACGAGTGTTATCACTATGTCGGAGACACGCTAGCTTTCCCAAGGCAGACGAACTTAGAGTGGTTACAATCATCCGGGTTTAAAATCGTGCTCAAATAAATATTTACACTGAAGCTGGCAGGCGGCTATGGTAAGGGGCATGACATTTCCCGACCAGGCGCCGAGTGGAGCCAATCACAACACACACTGGCCCAGCTAACCAATCACAGCACACACTGGCCCAGCTAACCAATCACAGCACACACTGGCCCAGCTAACCAATCACAGCACACACTGGCCCAGCTAACCAATCACAGCACACACTGGCCCAGCTAACCAATCACAGCACACACTGGCCCAGCTAACCAATCACAGCACACACTGGCCCAGCTAACCAATCACAGCACACACTGGCCCAGCTAACCAATCACAGCACACACTGGCCCAGCTAACCAATCACAGCACACACTGGCCCAGCTAACCAATCACAGCACACACTGGCCCAGCTAACCAATCACAGCACATTTTGTATTTCAGAAGGCGGGCCTTCATTTGATACAGGAACTATTCGAGCCGTTCATGCCAGACTGGGGAGAGAGGTGTTGTAATAATGTAAAATATGTGAAAAATAATGTGTTTTTCGAACAACCTAGTATGAGAGCCTGTTCTAGTACACCCCCAAAACTAAATCAAGACTTCGTAAAAGAGCATAATAGGACCCCTTTAAATCATGAAAACTCATGGTTATTGATAACTCATAAAGGTCTGTGTTTTGTACTAGGCTATGATAATTAATTTAGTATACTATTATATAGCAATATAATGTCAGCAGCTTCTGTAAAGACATGTTTTAAATTAAGATTTTTTTTCTGTTTCACAGTAGAAAACAGAACATGTCTTGATTTTAATGTCTTACTTGTTTATACAGTACTGTATCTGTATGTTTGTGTATATGTGCGTAATTCATTATTTTTCTAAGTTGTATTGAAATAGATAATCAGTAATTAATTAAATTAATATTAACTAGTATTTGTTTTTACATTATCAACAGCAGAAATCAATTGCAAATCTTCACTTATTTAAGCACAGATACTAATTAGGTTTTATTAGGTTTTTTGCTCGTCTAGCCTATTTCTGAAAACTTGGAAATATGTGAAATATTGTGCCGTTGTGCTCAATAATTGTCTTTATTGATATGTGGAAAGATGTAGTGCCTTTGAAAGCATGCCTACATTTTATAAACAAAATCTAATTGTACTTAATTATTGTGTGTTTTAAAATGACTTCTGAATGCCTGTATGTGCATGTGTGCAACTTTATCGTAGGCTACATTTTATAAATTTTTCCCATTTCAGTTTTGTTTTTTGGGTGACTCTGGCTGACATTCTGTCCAGGAGGACTACATATTAAAAAATAGCCTTTAACTATTACCTCTGGTGCATTTACAGTTATGTTTATTTATGTGCACTGTCCCAAATAAATAATTAAATAACCCTCACAACAGCTAGGATAAGACTGTCCTGCATAACATGAAGAACTACAGAGACCATCGGGCTTTGCGGCAGTCCGCCAATAGTTTTGCGGGGTGTGAGCGCAGGGCGAGATCCTCACTTCCTGGTTAAAGATGGCGGATGAGAATGAGACAGCACCGCAGCCGGAGAAAGAAACGGAGGTAGAAGTGGGTCACGGACACTGCAGCAATTGTGAAAATGAAGAGCACCACTCTGATGACGGGTGAGCGTGCATGCATTTTACTGTTAGCTCGTAGACATATAATACTCCTCCTCAAGGCCCGATAAGACAGGGCCCTTGTTCAGCTAGGCTGTGGCACGCTAACAGCACATCAGCCCGCCCCCTGGTCCTACGCTATTGGGCCACTTCCTTGATTGACAGACGGATCTCTAAAACGATTGGCTCAGACGCCGTCAATCAAACAAAAGGACGGTTCCATATGGCCAGTTCTATATGATCATTGGCATTTGTGTGAGAGGTTTAACAGCCTCACTATGAATCTTGGTTTGGAAGAAAACGAATAAGCTATTACGTTTAAAGTCGCTATTCCATGTCCTGTTCAACAACTCATAAACTGGCCAGCATTAATAAATAACCACCAAAAAAATCGCTTTCAAACCTGGTACGTTACGCAGGCCTTCATGACAACTAACGTTAATATGGATTTCCTGTGGTTAACCGATATTTTGGCGTGATCTAGTTACCTTGAGTGCTGCTAATAGCAAATGGAGCATCACCCTGCTCTCGGTTTGCACTCGTGTTCACCGAAGCTGCCTGTGTTTCACTTTCATTACCAAGGAGCTCCTCTGTTTCACCAGTTTCCTTATGCTGTCCCTGGGTTACTGAAAGAGACTCATTAACCAGCTTCTTATCCATCTACATGTCACTCAAGGTTATATACAGGCACTGTCCAGAATAAATTAGGCAACAGAGAGTGAAATATTACGTTTATTATCATTTTGTAGTAATGGCAATGTGCCGAAGATCACATACACCGCCTATCCTGTCGTGATTCATCTCATGCAATAATTGTCGTTTTTCTGGCGTTATAATAATACTAATGATACGTCAGTTAATATCTTAAACATTTCAGTTTTATTTATTCGTATCTAACAGTCATGTGGCATGTTTGGTAGATTTATAGTTTATTAATCTCGTGAGGTAAATTAGAGTGCAGCAAAAAGCAATACAGAAGACGCTACAAGCCAAAGCATTTATTTATATATTTATTTATTTAAAACGGTCAATTATGAAATTTTGTATTGTCTTGATCCCTTAACACGTCTTGTTGACTAGTGTAAAGAAAACATCCAAAATACACTACTAAGTGTTTATTTTATTACACGTTATCTATGTGCATCTGTAGATTTCAGTTACAGTATATGTCTTTAAAGGCTGTTTTCTCAAAAGGTTTTTACACTGAGCCAGAAATCCCCACTTCTTTAATGCTTACATCAGTTTTATTCTTATCTGTACTTTAAACATTTTAAATTACGTTTGTTCATATATCAATCGCTTGATTTATATGATATTTTATTCCTAAAAATTATGATTTTTTTCTGGCTTTTAACAATATTTTATGATTTATGGAGTGATAAAAAGTTGTCCAAAATCCCCTCTGTTTGTTTAAAAAAGTTAAAATACAACATTACTTTCAACCTAAATTTCAGCTAATGCTTTCATTTTTTTCTCCCTACTTTAAAATAAAGGGTTATGTACAATTAAATTGTATATGACTATGACTCTATTACTATTGATATTAAAGGGATAGTTCACTCAAAAATGAAAATTTGATGTTTATCTGCTTACCCCCAGGGCATCCAAGATGTAGGTGACTTTGTTTCTTCAGTAGAACACATATGATGATTTTTAACTCCAACCGTTGGAGTCTATCTGTCTTATAATGCATGGCAATGGTAACAAAATCTATGAGAGTAAAAAAAACACGCACAGACAAATCTAAATTAAACCCTGCGGCTCGTGACGACACATTGATGTCCTAAGACACGAAACGATCGGTTTGTGCCAGAAACCAAACAGTATTTATATCATTTTTTACCTAGCGCGCCTCTCCTCGGGAGACCGGTCTCTTCCCCGTGCATGCACGCTGGTGTCCTCGTGGGTCCAGGAGGGGTGCGTAGAGGGACTCCCGTGCCGCCAGAGTGCCGGACCCGCAGTCCGGACGAGAACCGCACCCATTACACGGCCGTCTAGTCCCTTCAAGCGCCGTGGGCAGAGAGAAGGACGAAGCCGCTGATAGAAGCCGCCGCCCCTCGCACCCCGGACCGGATAGGGGAGCGCGTGCGGCTGGCGGACTCCGCCCCTTACCTGGACCCTTCCTTCCTTCCTGACCACTGCCCTTCCCTTCACGAACCCCGCAGCACGACGAGGACACCAGATCCCCTGTTTATTTTGGACACTTGATTCCCTTTTTTCTGGACACTTTTTGTTTTCTGTTAATAAATTCTGTCGTTTGCTCCTCCCGCGACAACACCCATTAACGTAAACTACACCAGAGCACGTACACTCCTCACGCACCGGAAGTCGTGCGCGTGCTCAAAGCAGTTGGACATAGTGGTGAATTAGAGGTAAAAAATGATATAAATACTGTTCGGTTTCTGGCACAAACCGATCGTTTCGTGTGTTAGGACATCAATGTGTCGTCAGGAGCCGCAGGGTTTAATTTGGATTTGTCTGTGCATGTTTTTTTTACACTCATAGACTTTGTTACCATTGCCATGCATTATAAGACAGATAGACTCCAACGGTTGGACTTAAAAATCATAATTTGTGTTCTACTGAAGAAACAAAGTCACCTACATCTTGGATGCCCTGGGGGTAAGCAGATAAACATCAAATTTTCATTTTTGGGTGAACTATCCCTTTAATGCGATTATCAGCATGTTATCCTTGCAAGAAGAAAAAAAAAAACATGAAACCAACCTAACAGGGTTTCCTGTTTCCAGCTGGTCATAACTGGTTTAAGATCTCTCAAACTTACCATCTGCCTAAAAGACCTCCAGAACCAGCCAACTGACTACGCAGACCAGACTAGGTGGTAGTTTAGTCTCAATCCAATTAAACATGCATCATTCATTTTAAATGTACTATAGATTTGTTCTTCTATTAAGAGGACATCCTCTATTGCAGCTTATATTTATTGAAGCAATATAAAGAGAAAGAAGAGAAGCCGTGGTGCCTTCAACCCATCCAACAGGGTAGAAGGCTGTCAAAGCAATAGTCACAGGGATGCTTGTTTATCCGCCAGTCTTTGTCATACAGCCCACCTCCCCTCGCACACACAAAACATGCTTTTTCTGCAGGTCATGTGACAGACCATCTGTCCCCCATTAACAAATGTAGCTCAGCTCTGTCACCTCTCTCCCTTCCTTGAGTTGCGCGTCTCTCTGTATGTCGTCCCGTTTCAGTTTGACCACTGGAGTGTGGCTCTTGTGTCTGTGTAGTTCAAGCATGAGTTGAATTGCATGCTGGGATGGAGGGACATTAGTGTTATATGTTTCCATATGTGACCATGGACCACAAAACCAGTCTTAAGTGTCAATTTTTTAAAATTGAGATCTACACATCATCTGAAAGCTGAATAAATAAGCTTTCCATTGATGTATGGTTTGTTAGGACAGGACAAAATTTGGCCGAGATACAACTATTTGAAAATCTGGAATCTGAGGGTGAAAAAAAATCAAAATATTGAGAAAATCTCCTTTAAAGTTGTCCAAATGAAGTCCTTAGCAATGCATATTACTAATCAGAAAGTAAGTTTTGATATATTTACGGTAGGGAATTTACAAAATATCTTCATGGAACATGACCTTTTCTTAATATAGTAATGATTTTTGGCATAAAAGAAAAATTGATCATTTTGACCCATACAATGTATTTTTGGCTATTGCTACAAATATACCCGTGCTACTTATGGCTGGTTTTGTGCTCCAGGGTCACATATGTTAGGTTTAATGTGTTTTTTTTATTGTTTCCTTTTAAGCTCAGATTCTGCGTCATCTTTTTCATTCACAATGTCATTACCGGTGTGTAGCCTTTATATGTCTCTATACAAATATAATTGAGCGGAGTTAAATAGGTTCGTTAAAGAGGTATTTCTTCTAAATATCTATCAAAATATCTTCTTTTATTTCAGTTTTTGAAACAACATGTAAAAGATGACAAGGGGTCCATTTTTGGGTGAACTATCCTTATACAGTGGGGAAAAAAAGTATTTAGTCAGCCACCAATTGTGCAAGTTCTCCCACTTAAAAAGATGAGAGAGGCCTGTAATTTTCATCATAGGTATACCTCAACTATGAGAGACAAAATGAGAAAAAAAAATCCAGAAAATCACATTGTAGGATTTTTAAAGAATTAATTGGTAAATTCCTCGGTAAAATAAGTATTTGGTCACCTACAAACAAGCAAGATTTCTGGCTCTCACAGACCTGTAACTTCTTCTTTAAGAGGCTCCTCTGTCCTCCACTCGTTACCTGTATTAATGGCATCTGTTTGAACTCGTTATCAGTATAAAAGACACCTGTCCACAACCTCAAACAGTCACACTCCAAACTCCACCATGGCCAAGACCAAAGAGCTGTCAAAGGACACCAGAAACAAAATTGTAGACCTGCACCAGGCTGGGAAGACTGAATCTGCAATAGGTAAGCAGCTTGGTGTGAAGAAATCAACTGTGGGAGCAATTATTAGAAAATGGAAGACATACAAGACCACTGATAATCTCCCTCGATCTGGGGCTCCACGCAAGATCTCACCCCGTGGGGTCAAAATGATCACAAGAACTGTGAGCAAAAATCCCAGAACCACACGGGGGGACCTAGTGAATGACCTGCAGAGAGCTGGGACCAAAGTAACAAAGGCTACCATCAGTAACACACTGCGCCGCCAGGGACTCAAATCCTGCAGTGCCAGACGTGTCCCCCTGCTTAAGCCAGTACATGTCCAGGCCCATCTGAAGTTTGCTAGAGAGCATTTGGATGATCCAGAAGAGGATTGGGAGAATGTCATATGGTCAGATGAAACCAAAATAGAACTTTTTGGTAAAAACTCAACTTGTCGTGTTTGGAGGAGAAAGAATGCTGAGTTGCATCCAAAGAACACCATACCTACTGTGAAGCATGGGGGTGGAAACATCATGCTTTGGGGCTGTTTTTCTGCAAAGGGACCAGGACGACTGATCCGTGTAAACGAAAGAATGAATGGGGCCATGTATCGTGAGATTTTGAGTGAAAACCTCCTTCCATCAGCAAGGGCATTGAAGATGAAACGTGGCTGGGTCTTTCAGCATGACAATGATCCCAAACACACCGCCCGGGCAACGAAGGAGTGGCTTCGTAAGAAGCATTTCAAGGTCCTGGAGTGGCCTAGCCAGTCTCCAGATCTCAACCCCATAGAAAATCTTTGGAGGGAGTTGAAAATCCGTGTTGCCCAGCGACAGCCCCAAAACATTACTGCTCTAGAGGAGATCTGCATGGAGGAATGGGCCAAAATACCAGCAACAGTGTGTGAAAACCTTGTGAAGACTTACAGAAAACGTTTGACCTCTGTCATTGCCAACAAAGGGTATATAACAAAGTATTGAGATGAAATTTTGTTATTGACCAAATACTTATTTTCCACCATAATTTGCAAATAAATTCTTTAAAAATCCTACAGTGTGATTTTCTGGATTTTTTTTTCTCATTTTGTCTCTCATAGTTGAGGTATACCTATGATGAAAATTACAGGCCTCTCTCATCTTTTTAAGTGGGAGAACTTGCACAATTGGTGGCTGACTAAATACTTTTTTGCCCCACTGTAACTCATATAAGGTGTTATGGACCATTTCTCTTGTTTTGTGAAAATTCCTGTTTATATGCTAGAAATGTAAAACCAAAATGAAGCATATAAGATTTGTTGTACACCAGTGAGGGGTTGTGATCCTAAAATACTGCTGATTACATCAGGAACAGCGATGTTCCCAGAGATGTTGCGTGCTGCCCTTTCACCTGCATCAGCCGCGGTTAGTGCTGAGTGGACATAATGTCTCAGGGTTACGTATGTAACCATGGTTCCCTGAGGATTGAAAAAACACCAACAACACGTTGACCAGCGACAGCCATGACGTCACTACCGTTGCGACTATAGTATAAATAGGCGCCGGGAGAACACATCATCCACTTCTTCGTCTGAAGCTTGCGTCCGCAGCATGGCAAGAAACCTAGAGGACGCAGTGTCTCGTTCCTTACTCAGGGAACCATGGTTACATACGTAACCTGAGACGTTCCCTTTCATGGAAACTTCGAACTGTGTCCTCTAGGCATCGCTATGGGGAACGGTATACCCATGCCACCATGCTGAGGGGAGTGCATGCCAGAAACCATGGCGAGCACTAAGTACCAACTCTACCATATTGCCATGGGAGTTTCCCCTGGGACGTTAGATGGCTGTCAGTGACATTATTCTCTACGGCCAAAGGCCAAGGCTAAATACCCCCCAAAAAAACTTACCTGTTAGGGCCAGAACTCAATGCTTGGAATCAGGATAGATTCCTTTAAGGCAGTGGTTCTCAACCCGCGGCCCGTCTCGAATTCAAATGTGGCCCACCGTGCTGAACACAATTAACAAAAAATACTTTCAGTTTTACAATTCATTTTAGTTTTTACATTAATTAAAAAATTTACTAAAATATTAGCAATGCATAGCCTAATGTTTTTATGTAAAATAATTTTGTTTTTCATATATTATTTTCAGACATGAGCAGTACTCACATAGCCCAATTAACGTTACGCATTTAAAGTAACGACCAAGTGGCCAGCGGCAGACAGTGAGCATATGTTTGATCAATTTAGCCTTCTCAAATCATCACGACTTGACTAAAATAAAATCTATAGATATAAAACAGTTCAAGCATATAACAATGTTTAAACGTTAAACCTAGATAAATGTGCGCTGTATCCAATAGTTTGCGCAGAGAGTGGAAGCTGAAGCGCGCTTTGCAGGACATAGAGACGCCAACGCGATCACTTGCAAATTTTTTTCAGTAATTTTTGCTCATAAAGGTAAGAGTAATACATCATTCGTAACTGTAAAGGGTCTACTTTTATTTGTGTGCACTCACAATATCAACAAAAAGTTGTGCTTTTATAAAATAAAGAAAGGTTTGTATTGCTGACGTAATATGTAAATGATATGCGTGCGGCCCGCGAGACTTGCACTTGGACCATAGCGCGGCCCGGTGGAAAAAAAGGTTGAGAACCACTGCTTTAAGGGAATACGACCAAAAGCCTAGACTCATACTAAGTCTTGGCCTGTCACACAGGGAAACGAGAGGAGGCTCGACCTGCAGCATGTTCCAAAGCTGGAACAGCTAGCAATAATTTACTTAGCTGAGGGAGCAACACACCCAGCTCTCAGTCGAGAAGGGAGCTCTACCTACAGCATTTTCCAATGCTGGAATGGCTAGCAATAGTTTACCTTAGCTGAGGGAGAAGAAGGTTCTTACAAATGCCACCTATACTTCCCGCTCGATGCCTCAGCGAGAGGGGATATCCTAGTGATCGGGAGGCCCCTCAGGGCGACCTAGATACGGTAAACCAGACAGGGCAGCCTGAAAGCATAAGCCCAGCCCGGACATTTTTGCAGTGCCGTGCCGGGGGCCTGATGATCAAGAAGGATCTCGCAGAAGCCTGTGACCTGGCCGCATGATCCAGGAAGTATGAAGCCGAAACCCGGCTTATCGTACCGTCTGGACA